AATGATGACGTCTCATGGTGTCACCTCTCAATAAAAGTGTTAATCATACCATGATTAACGATATTATAACCACACTTGGTCAAATATTTCAACTTTGTAAGCATCAAACAAGCATTTAATTAATACTATGTTTTTATTAGATAATCTTGTATTTTTCACATATTTTTGGTATTTCTGGCCCTTTTTTTGGAGCGCCTGGGCTTTTTTTTTGGCTTGCTTTGTTTTCTTCTTATTTTTATTGACTAACCCCCTTGCAGGCTTTTGGCACCCCTGGTCCAAATTTATTTATTTTCTTTTTTTTATTTTATTTCTTTTTTTTAAATATATTTTCTAAATATTAAAAATCATAAAAATACAAAAAATGATAGATTTATATTTTTGACATATTTTATTTTATTTTTCTCACAAATTTTTTATATTTATTATACTTTATTTATTTTATTAAATAATCTTGTAAACTTAATTAATACTATGTTTTTATTTATTTATTTTTCACACCATTTAAAATACATTATTTTTTATATAAAAAAGACTAAAAATATTTTATAATACTATAAATATTTTTAAAGATAAAAATACTAAAAATACTTTTCTTAAACTTATTTTCTTTTGATTAATTTATAGAATTAGGGTTTCACTTAAAATCTTTTCCTAATAAAATTCAAATTTAATTAATTATTTTCTTTATTTAATTAGGTCAAGACAAAATCCATTTTTCATGAAAATCAAACAAAGATACATTCTCTTTACATTTTTTGCATTTTTGTATAATTCATTCATTTTATTACTTTGTATATTATTTATTTTATTTCCTTGTACATTAATACCCATTAAATTTGGTTGTAATAGATTAACTAGGTTTATATTCTTGCAAATCCCCATTGAATTTGTATACCCCCTTTCCCACAAATGTTGTAATAGCATAGTAACTTTAAATTTCGCAATTTATCGCTTTTATATAACATGCTAGTAATTAGGGTTTGTATGGGAAAGATTAAAATCAATACTTTGAAAACCTTAATTCAAGACTAAAACAAGCATGAAAACAATACACTTGCACACAAGCACCCCTAGGGTTATTTCACTTGGTTGCCTTATACAAAATGGTCATATTACGCATGTGAGGTATGTTAGCAAAAACAAGCAAATACAAGATCATAGTCTCTCGATGACGGTGTCTAGGTTGCCTTACAAATGATCTTAGTCCCTCCAAAAGAATGCTAAGATACCTTGCAACATTGCTAATCATGGTTATACGATGACCCACGCCCGTCCCGTTTACATCCAAAGATAGGGTTGCTTACCAAATCAATAGTAAGACAACAATGTCAAAGGAAAAGAAAATGAACAAGAAAGACATTTGACTAGGTAGATTGCTCCTAATTACTTGCTCCATTTCAAAACAAACATCCTTGCTATTTTCAAAACAAACACCTACACTTTCAAAACATCTTACAAAATTTGAAAACATTTTGAAAAGATCAACATCTTTGCATACATTCTTACAAACAAGAATCATTACAAAGATTGCCTAAACAATGGCCTCTTTACAAAATACTTTCAAGAACCACACAAAGCACAATTTCAAACAAAAGCAAGTGATCTAGCAAGTAACTAAGAGCCCATGGAAAATCATGGATGAAAAGGATGCTAATACCTTCCCTTTTCATAATCTACCTCCCGAACTCAAGAAATAATCTCAAAGGTCTTTCCTGTGCTTTTTCACCTTTCCTTTTGAATAAAAGAAAAGTCGGTGGCGACTCTTGCTCTGCAACATTTGCAATCAAACGCAAAACCTTCAAGTCAGTTCTCCCACCGTATCACATACACCAAACAAGCAGCCCCCAATTCCAGTGGTAGATCTGATCAAAATTATCAAAGTACCACAGGTACATCACATCTGTGTAAGTGGCACTAGTTTCCACAAAAATCTGTGTGCCAACCAGAAACAATAGGTATGCTCTCATAGCAAACCTTCGGTGTGGTAACCTGCTCCGGATCACTATTAGCCTGTTGTGCACGCCTAATCTCACCCGTGAACACCCTCTTCAAATAATTATATTTGACGTGGGCACCACGGATAAAGTCCAACTCAGCCATGACACTCTCAGGGGAAACTCCCAATTTCTCTACCAACATATCCAAAGTCTCCTCTTTGTCAATCATTTCATGATCTAAAAATGTTCCTCTAATCGAAAGATACAGTAGAGACGCGAGGTCGTCCAGTGTGATCGTCATCTCACCATGTGGTAGATGGAATGATGACGTCTCATGGTGTCACCTCTCAATAAAAGTGTTAATCATACCATGATTGACGATATTATAACCACACTTGGTCAAATATTTCAACTCTGTAAGCATCAACAGGTCATCAAACCATGGCTCAACAGGGGGTACAAGTTTATTTATCTTCCGCCCATGATTAATAACCTTCAATGGATCATGTTCCTGCATACATGGTTTGACAAAATTCATTCAACAAAATCCATAATAAAAAGGTAATAGAAGGAACAAGTCAACATACATGTCTCTTCATCCCATATATGTCTAGCAACATGGTCCGAGTACAGAGGCAACAAAGATAAACTAGATGGTCCTCCTCTAAAACCATGAGGCACTGCAGGTGCCGCCTGAGGTGTCGCCTGAGGTACCGACTCAGGTGCCTGAGATGTCTGGGGTGCCACCTGAGGCGCCAACTCAGGTACCTGAGATGTCTGGGGAGCCGCCTTAGACGCCGTCTGTGATTGAGGTGTCACTTGTGTGACCTCTGGTGTCCTCTCCCGCCTCTATTACCATCGGTGAGGAAGTATGTCTACGGGAGGACGGAGGCGAAGAGAGATGCATTGGAGAATCTTGCCTGCCGTGGGAGGACGATGTAGTCAGAGTAGAAACATGAACACCGAAGGCAGAGGTTGTAGTATGCGCATCTTGCACAACCTGACCAGAGGCAAAAGTAGCCTGAGATACCTGACTTCTTTCTCTCTGCACAGAAGCATGATGTGCAAGCCTGTCGTGCCTCAACTTAGATGGTCTCTCAGTCATTACTCTTGTAGAAGTACAAAACAGACATTAACATAAGGACTAATATTCAACATTAAGGGAAAAATAGGAACAGACTAAAATCGAAAATGCATTTCCGATTTTCTTCAACGTTAAAATGAAAACCGAAAATATATTTCTGGTACGATCTGTAATTTCAAAGCTTCATCAATGGCGGAGCAGAGTCGCAAATGCCATCAAAATAATGGTCATTGATCAGGAAAAAAGATGTTTCAAACACGTTTTTTATGACTCACTAACATTGAAAACACTAAACAACTCACAATTTCTACCGTAAGTCACAAATTTGAGTATAAATTACACAAACTCTAAAAAGTTCAAAAACAACTTACAATTGATGGTTCTTCTTGATCGAATGTGGTTGAACACTTAAGTTAACTGATGTTTGACAATTTCTAATGAGTTTTATGCGAAGTGGTTTGATTTTGTAACGATGGGATTTGAGAGGGTTGAGTGTTTTACGTGTTGTGGTTATGTTAGAAAAGAAAACATTTCTATAGCACACCTTTAAATCTAAACAAGAACCGGAAATATACATCTCATTGTAACCATAAATATATTTCTTGTTCCTATATTGGCTTCAGCTTGAATTACAAAGGTGCAACCAAATATAGCCACGCAGTTGTGTTGTGTGTTTGGGTGCAACCACGCAGTTGTGTTATGTGTTTGGGTGCAACCAAAAATACATTTACGATTACAACCAAATGGATATATTTGGTTTTCACTCAACTTTTACATCCAATTTATGCCTATTATAATTCAGTACCGAAAATATATTTCCAATTTTGAGAAACATTTTTGAAATTTTGCATGATGCACTAAAAAACTATAGAGTGAAAAAAGAAATCCTTAAGTATTATATGTGTATTATGATCAACTGATCCAATTTTGTTTCAGCAATAGTGTTCCTGGCACTCATGGCACTAAATATAGTTAGCGAAAAGAATCCAGTGTTTTGGATCAGTGTTGGAAAATATTTACAAGATGTTCAAAATAAGGACAAATAAGATCCCAAAACATGTGCTCATTGGAACTTGCATTTTCTAAAATTCAAAAATTGCCTTGTCAGTAATACATTGCTACCAATCAAGCACCTAAAATGCAAATTACTATGTTAGAAAATAATCAAAGCCAAAGTTCTAACACATGGAAAAATATGATTTTACATGTTAAACTGTAATGTTTTAGAAAAAAAATAACTATGAACAAGTCCATAAACTACTAAGATTAAATGCACTGAAAATGTTCTACTAAAAAGGGAACCCCATCTGCCTCCTTATGCTTCACAGCTTGAATTCCTGAGAAATTGTAGTTTCCCTTATCCTGCAGAAATGACCAAAAGTTATTTACATCATTCATTTCACACATTTCGCTCAAGACACGGATTTCAAATCCTGTCATATGATAATCTTGGCATTCATTCTTCTCAGCAATCAAGTAATTTAAGTATCAACTCAATGTAAAGAACAATCGATTCAAAAGAACTCTGCAGATACTAAACAGTCAATATCTAATACAAACAAAATAAAGATAAACAACATTATACATTACAGAAATAGCCAGTCATTACACAAACTCCTGAGAGCATAGATAGCAAACAGATAGGTCACTAAGAAAATAATTATACATAATCTCTTATACATGTATAAATGCAGAAACTGCATCTTAATGTCTACAATATATAGTGAATCAATGATCAACTATTTACAGCTCGGCAGTTGTCAATTGATGAGTGATACCATTTTATTGTCACAAATATGTTCATTTAGAAAAAGCAAAAGTAGATTTAAAACAAGAACACATTTCTATTGTTGACTTATCGTGAAAAACTCAACATCAAAAGCAATACGATTTAGAACATGCAAAAGCAACATTATAAACCAAAAATAACCAACTAATCATCACTAAGAGCAAACTAAAACCATGCACTGTAACCACACATGCAAACTATCTTTCTATTGTCAATCATGCAAAAAACTCTCACGAGCAGGGACAAAGCATGGGTTTCCAACAATTACATCATTCGAGCCATTCCATCAAATATGTCCTTCAAATTAAAGGAATTAAAAAATTTATCAACAACTAAGCCTTATCCCACCAAGTGGAATAGGATACATGAATCAAATTCCGCCATAATGTTCTATGCCGGATCATGTTTCTATCCAACTCATTAATCTTGAGATCTTCTTTCATAGTTTCTCTTACAATTTTTCTAAATCGTCCTCTATCTGAAGTTTGACTTTTTTCAATCTTAGCTACTCTTCTTACAAAAAAATCTAAAAGTCTTCTCTATATCATACGAGCCATTCCATCTAATATGTCCTTCGAATTAAAGGAACTTAAAAACTTAACAACAACAACCAAGTTTATCCCACTAAGTGGAGTGGGCTACATGAATCAAATTCCGCCATAATGTTCAACTATGTTTCTATCTAATTTGTCAATGTCGAGGTTTTTTAAATAGACTCTCCTATAGTTTTTCTAAGTCTTCCTCTAACTGACTTCTCTTTATCTGATCTACTCTACTTCCAAAGAATCATTTAAAGGTCTTCTCTCTACGCGACCAAACCATCAAACCATATTTTTCACCATCTTTGCAAAAACAAAAACTAAATCCACAGTTTCAACATGAAAAGATAACAAACAGAGATGGTGAATGATCCATGCAGCTAAAATGAGAAATGAAATATCAATTAAAAATATATAACAAAGGAATATAACTTTACCTAACCAGATCCAACGATAATGTTGTTAATAGGAATGAAAATCAGCTTAACAAAAAAGCCAACAAATCCCATCACAACGAAACCAATCGCAGTTCTCACAGCAACCTTGGAGAATTCTACAACACAAAACGCATAACAATAAAAATCAAGATCCATAACACAGATTCAAATCAAATCTAAGTAAACGTCAAACAAAGATCACAGAAGAATGAAATAGATCTAGAGTTTAACCTTTCCGATCGGGTTTGTGGCAGCGCTTGACGAGCCTAACGCTGTCCTTAGCGAATTCTCTGAGCGGATCGAAGACGGAATCAATGGCGTCCATTTTCTCTTTCGATTTGGAGTTTCTGAGAACTGAAATAGAAGAAAAATCAAGATCTGAATCAAAGAGAAAAAAACCCTAAAATTGAAGTTTGAAAAACTAAAAAGAAATCAAAGATGAACCAATAATCGATAAATCCAGAGAACGCGAAAAACTCTTAACAATAGAAGTCTTACTCTGTCTATGTGTGCTCTGAGGATTTCTTCTCTATGCAAAGAAGAAATGTGGATATATAGTTTTGTAAAGGAATTTAATTCTCAATCGATAATTGAAACGTTTATATAAAAATAAAAAATAGTGTACAAATATTTTACATCAAACAAGAATTCAGTCAAATAAGATTGTAATTTTTAAAAAAATTATATGATTAAATATTTATGGTCCTTTTAAATATTATAATTTTCAGTTCTTTTAAACATTTTCTTTAATGAATAGTCTTTTTAAATTTTTACATATATATTATTAGTTTTTAATGCCAAACGAAACTAACGGTAGTCTACTTGACATGACAGTCATGATATGTATAATATAATTTCATTTAATATCATTTTTTATGGACTGTGATATATTTAATGAATTAATATGTGACATTTGTCTTATTAATCAAGAAAAAAAAATTCTAAAAATTCTATTTACCTAATTCTTTCATTTGTTTGTCGCCTCCGTCTACTTTTCTTTTTCGTCTCTTACCTCAGCCTCTTCCCCCTTCATCTTTTTTTCTTCTTGTATTCTATGGGAATTTCAAAGTCAAGTTCAACAATAAGCGGTTCGTATTCATCTTCTGCTACGAAGAATCGAGTTTGTCGTTTATGTGGTTGTAATGGTCGGATGGTCTCTTATCAATGCAATGGTGTATATGAAAGGATTGTTAAGGGATGCGAAGAAGAACAAAATTTTGAAGAACAAACTCAAAGAAGAGGAATTTTCTGGAAAAATAAAAAAGATGTGTCTTGTTGTTTCGTTATTGTTTAATGTTTATTTGTTGTTGAAATGTATGTGTTGAAATGTGATTCAACTGTAATGTATAAGCTTTCATTGTAACAGTTTTGTCTAAGTTAATGAGTATTGTTTTTGTGGTTTATCAGTATTATTAATTTGATATTCTGAGTATTGTTTCTTAGTATACTAGTTCTATGTCAATTGAAACATTTTTACAAACCATATATTAATATGTTAATAATGCATAATAAACATGTTCAAAACAAGAGTACATATGATAACAAGATTACAAAATAAGTGTATAAAAGAGTGCATAATGCACATGTTCAAAACAAGAGTACACTGAAATTAAAAGAGTGCATAATGCACAAGTTCAAAACAAGAGTACACATAATTCAAAAGAGTGTATAATGAACAAGTTCAAAACAAGAGTACAAAATGATATTATAAAGATAGTGTTCATCAAATTTTCACTGAGTTGAGTTCTTCTCGATACTTTTCCAAGAGTTCTTTCCATTAGCACTATCAACTTCTATGTCCTCTTCTAGTATCACAAGTGGATCCTCGGCATCCCTCTCTGGTCCAACAATGTCACGTGTTTTCAAAGTCATAAGGCGATCGCTCTTCCTTGTAGGAGTCTCACCATCTTTTGCTTTCTTCCCTTTTGGTATCATGGCCTTCACATGTCATGACAGCAAAATAATTTGTAAATAACCAAGGGACAAATATATTAATATAATAGATCAAAACATGCATAATTCTACTTACAAGGTCACTAATTATTTGTTTTGGAAACTCGTGATGAATTTGTTTAGCAGACTTGGTCATCTTTGGCTTTGGAAACTTAGGTATCTTTGGACATGGACCAAAGAACATCATGACTTTACTTGTATTAGCAGTCTGTGCAACATTTTGAAGAACCTCATCAGTTTGGCTTGCCTGACTTTGAGTCATATCAGCTGGTGGATTTTTTAACAGGAGTAGTGTCAACATTTAGTGACTGAATGTCTAATATGTCATCATCATTCAACAATGCTTCTAATGCTTCAAGTTCAATGCCACAATACATTCTTAGTGCCTCATTTGAATTTATAGATGCTTGAGTTGTAATTTTCACATACTCAGGTGTTGCATTTTTCGTTTGTACATTATCAACATCCACATTACCAGTTTGTGCATTCTCAGATCTTGCCTCGGTTTGAACATCCATACTACCAGTTTGAACATCCACACTACCAGTTTGTGCATTCTCAGATCTTGTCTCAATTTGAACATCCACACTACTAGTTTGCGCATTCTCAGGCCTTCAAATAGCTTTCTTTGTCTTTTTACTTGGGCATGTAAGAAAAAAAGTGCTTATACATTTGGCCTTAAGAATTTGATGATAACTTTACATGATATCATAAAGAACAGTTGTATACTATAATGGTTTCGTTCTAGTGTGTAGTTATTGTTGTAATGTTCTAAATTTGGTATCAAGGCGTGTGATGTCATCGGGTTCTAAACATAGACACTACTAGAAGAAAACATGTGGTTACATGTTACAGTTGAAGTCAAGATTCTGGAATTCATCTTATGCAACAGTTCTTAGGAACATTAGTATAAGAGGTTTTGATCGTGACTTTATGGTTAAGCTTTAAAGTCCTTCTAAAGCTTTGCTTCTGTGTGTTACAAGTTTTGAAGATTATGAAGCGGGGTTCTGCTGAATAAGTTCTAATGATCTGAAGAAAAGAAAGTTCTTACAACCAAGTGCTGAAGACGAGTTTCTAATAGGATAAATTCTGAAGACTCCAAGACTTAGGTTCTAAGACTTAAGAGTGATTCTTCTACAACAAGCTTCAAACATTCAAATTATCTGAAGCCTCTAAAGATAAGAATAAGTTCTAAATGGTTAACGTGTGATGATGTACAAAAGGTACAAAAAGTGTTATGTGACCTCTACCCTCTAGGGTGGCATAAGGATAGTCCTTTCGTACTATACTATGACCACTCTCATTATGACCGTTGAGAACAAACAGCTATAATTTTCTATTACCTTCCCACCCTTTCAATGGATCTCTTTTACAAGCTATAAAAGAAAGACTTGGAAGCTGAAGAAATGTAAGAATCAACATTACACAAATCTATCGGATTAAATCAAGCTCAAGAAAAACTACACCAAAGCGTTGGGTAACGCTTTAGAGAAATCTTATGTGTATAGTTTTGTAAATAGCCAAGGAGTTGTTGCTCGTATCTTGTTGTAAAACACTTAGGTGTTTTTTTTAGGTACTAAAACGTCTATGTAATCCGCTTAAAAGAAGAAAATTGTAGTACACTGAAAGTATTCAACTGTTGTTGATTCCTTGAGTGACCGAGTGAAGGTCTGATCTCAAGAAGACTCTTGTTGCGGTTTGAGTGGATTTGCAATAAGGATCGACGAACTTATTGGGGGTGCCAAATACGTTGATCTGACTTATTATAAGTTGTCTGTAATCAGTTTGGTTATAATGGATTAAGTCCTTGTTGAAGGAAAATCACCTTGAGGGAAGGACCGGAGTAGCTTAGTTAACAGTGAACCAGGATAAAAATAATTGTGTTCATTTATTTTTATGTTCTAAGTTAACTTGGTCTTTCATCAGTGAAAACATTTAAATTAATTATTGGTGAAACCCAATTCAAACCCCCTTTCTTGTGTTTCTCACACCTTCAATTGGTATCAGAGTTCTGGTTCTGGTATTGATATTTATCAAACACTTAATCGTGTCAGATAAAGATCTAGACGAGTTTTTCTTTAAAGAAACACAATGGTTGAACCCACACCAACTAATGTTGCTTCAGATTTAAACGACAAAAGCTACAATGTAAAACCTCCCATCTTTGATTGTGAAAAGTTTGAATACTAGAAAGATAGACTAGAAAGTTTCTTTCTAGATCATCATGTTGATCTTTAGGATGTGGTAGTTAATGGCTACGTACCTCCCACAAATGCTACTGGAAAAGAAATAGATAGGAGAGCTATAACTGATCAACAAAAGAAAGATTACAAAAATCACCATAAATCAAGAACCATCTTGTTGAATGCGATTTCTTATACTGAGTATGAGAAGGTCACAAATAGAGACTTTGTTAAGCCTATATTTGACTCTTTTAAAATGAATCATGAAGGAAATGATCAAGTCAAAGAAACCAAGGCCCTGACCTTAATTCAGAAGTATGAAGCCTTCAAGATGGAGGATGATGAAAGCGTTGAAGTCATGTTCTCAAGATTTCAAATCTTGGTTGCAAGACTGAGAGTTCTCGACATAGGCTATTCAACGGCTGATCATGTGAAGAAGATTATCAGAAGCTTGTCATCCAAATGGAGGCATATGGTAACTACACTCAAGATTACAAAGGATCTGAACAACACTTCTCTAGAAGAACTGATAAGTTCTTTGAGAAGTCATGAGATTGAGCTAGAACAAGATGAACTACAAAAGAAGATAAAATCTATTGCGCTCAAGTCCATCAAGAAATCTGAGAAGTCCAAAGCTTTTCAAGCAGAAGAGATAGAGGATTCAGAAGAAGATCTTGACGTTAAAGTAGATGAGTTGTCTCTACTGTCCATAAGGGTTAACCGTCTCTGGAAGAGAAATCAAGGCAACAGGCTCAGAAGTTCAAGAAGGACTAGAGGTCCCTTCGAATCAACTTCTTGTCAAAGAAAGTCTAGTGGCAATGAAGTCACTTATTATGAGTGTAATGAGCCAGGACACTACAAGTATGAATGTCCTAAGCTTCTAAAGGACATACCAAAGAAGAAAGCTCTCAAAGGAAAAAAGAAAAGGCTAATAGCAACATGGGATGATTTAGACTCTTCTGACTGCGACTCAGACGGAGAACATGTTAACATGGCGTATATGGCTCATGTTGGAACATTAAGTGAAGTAATCCCCCCAGAAGATGAAGTTGATTCAGAAATAGAAGAAGTATTATGCAAATAGGTATTCACTGATCTTACTCATTATGAATTAACTTATTCCTGAGTTGAAATTATGGACTTTGCAGCAGACTTGGAGGAGGAGCGACGAAATCGGACCGACCGACAG